ATTCTGTTGTATTTCCAGCAACCTGCATTGAATTGCTTTTATGAGTTTCCTGTTGCTGTCTAGATTGAACTGTTCAATTCGGTTTGCAATTGCAATTGTATGTTATTAACGATGTTGAGTTGTTTTTAATAAAGTAGACGCTCTGTATTATTTTATTTATCATTTTCACATTTGTCTTTTTAGCCGAAATACGTGGAACGTTGGCGGTTAAAAACAACTGTTTTTTGTGACCTGAACACTTTTCATATTCAGAATTACCTTGATGTATTGCAAGTACGACTTTTATTTCTACGGGCACCACGGAAATGTACGGAAAGGAAGGAATTATGGGAATGTGCCAGAAAGAAAGCGTGGCAGCGTCATTTCATGCGTGCTTGTGTGGCAGAGGGTTGGCGTGTGTACGCGGCTCACGAATCGCCGAGACGAGACCCAGGGAGAGCATTAATGTTGGGCGTAACCGGCTCTCTAAACACCTCGAAAAATTCGTTTGCGTTTTGTGTAAGTAAGGTTTTCCAACGGCGGAGGAGTGTAATAGAAAACGTGATTGATATTTGTCAGCGAAGGTAACGAGTCCTGCAAGCTTTCCCAGTTTTTCCTGCGTTATTTAAATGAAAGGGTGGGTAATCACTTGAACACTAAAAAAAAACGGGGCGTGAAAACTCATTATACCATCTCCGTATTCCTTATTTATTTGGGTTAAAGAGCCCTTAAACTTCTGATACTATTGAAGCCCCCACATCATAATTTAATAAATAGAATGTAGTGATAATGGTGATGGAAGAAAATGTAAAATGAGAAGTAGGGGACGGTTGAACCACAGAAAAAGTGTCGAGAGCTGTTGTCGTTCACTACGAATTCCACTGGCCCCAGTTGTAGAAGACTGCTCTGATTACCGGATTATAAATTCCTCTGCAGCGAATTGCCTTTGCCGGGTTAACGGAAGTGTATGCCGTGGGATTCCTCATATGACTCACGTAAATTTAATGTCACTAATGTCACAATGATATTAATATCACTTGTTTCACATACGTTACTCTTTTTTTTAATGAGCAACTAGCGTAGGAACTTTAATATGATTTGACAATCATACGGCTTCCGTCCTCGCCAGATTCCGAATATCCCGGGTATCTTTCCGCCTTCACCGGGCTGCCCAAGCACCTCGCGCGAGGCGTCATTGTTCAGGTTGAACGCGACAGACACAGCCGGTCGTCGTGAGGTCGTGTGGCTCGGGGTTTTTCCAGGCGGTTAGCGTCTCGCTGCAGCTGGCCGGTCAGCCGCCAGCCAGCGAGCCTCC